TGTTTTCTCAATGCAAAAACAGGCAGGCCTCTAGACTGGCACACCCAGCCAAACAAATAATTATTTTTCTTGAGTACACAGAAATGCCCACATTCATAGCAATAGAACTTCAGCACCCACACCCAATTTTTTTTGTCTCTTTTATTCCTCCTTTTCCCTGCAGCTACATCCATTATCTCTTCCTTCTCCCTCTCTCTTTCTTCCTGAAATATATTTCCACGGAACTTATCAATTCAGATTAGCCCTCTTAAAATACACTTCCCCATTATTTTCACAAATCTGTTGCCTTATCCAGACCCAAACTAAAAACAAATGCACTGCCATTGAGTCAATATTGACTCAACGCCACCCAATAGGGCAGGGTAGAACTGCCCCTGTGAGATTCCAAGATTATTATGTCTTTACAGGAGTAAAATGCCCCATCTTTTCCCCAAGGAGCAGCTGGTGGTTTTGGATCCTGACCTTGCAGTTAGAAGCCGAACATGGAAGCACGATGCCACCAGGGCTCCAGCCAAGACATTTCCAACCAAGAAGAGCCAAGGAGTAGATAGCTACACAGGGGAATTCTACCAAGTCTTCCAAGAAGAACTGCCCCCACATTTACACAGACCGCTTCAGAGTGTAGACAGGGACAGCAAACTCATTCGATGCCGTGAGAACAGTCCTGACACCAAAACCAGACAAAGATCCCACAAAGACAGAAATGCTACAACAACAACAAAAATCCCTCATTAATATAGATGCAAAATTTCTCCCAACAATTATGGCCAATAGAATACAGCAATATATCAAAAGATAATCATCATGACCAAGTGGAATTCATACCAGGGATTCAAGCATGGTTCAACATTCAAATAGCATCAATGTAATCTACACATAAACAAGACAAAGAATAAGAACAACATGAGCACATCAATAAAATCCAAAACTATTGTCAAATGCAAGCAATATCTAACACCCATTTCTAATAAAAACAATAAAATAGGAGTAGAAGGTAAGTTCCTCAACATAATAAAAGCCATATATGAAAATCCAACGGCCAATATTACAATCAATGGGGGGAAACTGAAAGCTTTTCCCCTGAACTAGGAACCGGACAGGGTAGTCATTATCACCACTCATATTCAACATCCTAATGAAAGTCTTAGCCAGAACTTTTAGACAAGGAAAAGAAATCAAAGGAATACAATTGGGCAAAAAAGGAGTGAAGCTATTAGTATTTGCTGATGATATGATTTTACAGAGAGAGAACCCCAAGGATGCCACAAAAAAAAAGACTACAGGAAATAATTGAGGGATTTAGTAAAGTAGCAATATACAAGATTAACAAGCAGAAATCAATTGAATTTCTATATACCAATGAAGAGAGCGCAGAAAAAGACTTCAAGGAAACAATATCATTTACAATAACTACACAAAAGAGGAAATACCTAGGAATAAATGTTATCAAAGGAAGAAAAAACTGTACAAAGAAAATTAGAGAACATGAGTACAAGAAACTGTTTACAGGCATAGAAAGCCTAGTCTTTCTCTCATGGGCCTGCTGGTTTTGAATTGTTGACCACGTGGATCGCGGCCCAATGCATAACCAATACACCACCAGGGCTCCTTTTAAATTTTATAGCATTGGCTAAATTAATGACAATATTGATAAAATTACCTTACACTTCAGGAAAATGAGTTATAATGTTCTCTACCATAAAATGATAACGATGTCTCTAAAGTGAACCAGAGACTCATATGAACCACAGATATCTGAGTGGGTTTTGTGTTCACACTTAAGTATAGCCCCAATTTAAGAACAATTAGTTCTTATTACAGGACCCTCCTTGATGCTCACCCGCCTAAAAAGATTATTTCTCCTTGATATGACCGAACTATTGAATTGTATAATATGTAAATTATGTGCCAATAAAACTGTAGGGGGGGAAAAGAGATTACTAAAGTTAAGGGTGCTATAGCAAAGTGTGATGAAGAAACCAGATGGTACTCAGGTATCAGAGAGAAGGACATCTAGGGTCTTAAAGGCTTATCATCAAGCAAGCAGCCATTTAAGGGAGGGATTAAGTAATTCCACCTGGAAGAAGCACACCAGCCTGTGTGATCCAAGGATTGTAAAACTTAAATCTAAATCTGGACAAGGGAATGATATTAGAGCTTAAATTCAAAACACCCAATTTGGGGGACCCTATGGATGATAGTAGACACCCAAAATCCATTCGCAGAATCCCCACATGTATTTAGCGTCTGTTGAATCCCCTCTGACCGTAGTTCAGGAATGTGAATAGCCTTACTCAGAGAGAGAGCATTATAAAATCAATTACGATAGATGTAGTTAGGTTAAATTGTAATGCCTTATCATTTATCCTCCTTTTCATACAATTTTAAAGTTGTTTCAGTTTAATACTTTCTGCTCTCTTTAAATTGAATTTTTACTATGTTTTGTCTAGTCATTGTTATTTGGGTTTTGTTTGTTTGCTTTCTGTTCATATTTTGTATGGTTTTCTGTATATGAAATCCAGGATAAGTAGGACTATGGAGACGGAACTGGATTGATAATTGCCTAGGGGTGTAGGAGGAAAAGATAGGGTGAAATAGGGAACTAACAACAAGAAGTATGAGAAGAAATGTTCTGAAATTGATTAAGGTTATGACTGCACAGATCTTCTTACTATGATTGAACAATTAAATTGCATGGTATGTGAAGTGCAGGCCAATGAAATTATTTTCAAATGGTCATAATAATGTATCATATGATATTTACTAGGATACATGACAAGGTGCGTGTATAGTACATAGCAGAGTGCCTGGCAGATGGGAAATAACAATTTAAAAATCTAAAACAACATGCTGTGGGGTGCCATTGAGTGTATACTCACAGTGACCCCATGTCTCAGAGTAGAAATTATTCCATAGGGCTTCCTAAACTTTATTTTTGGGTGGGAAGAGATCACTAACTAGTTCTCCAGCAGGGGATTATTTTTAGCCTGGTGCACAAATATCTGAAGTTTGGGGATTCTGATGGGCTGTTACCACACCCACTTACCCAAGAAGACAAGCAGACCAGACATGGCTCTTCTGGGGTGTTGATTTGAAATCAACTAGGAAGCTAATAGACGCTTTGCCTTGTGCTTGTGTTTTGATAGAATGGTAAATCTGAAGAAATGCTGAGTGCCCTCGGATGCCAAGACTTTCCTCCCACTTCAGATTGCGAGGACTTGCTGGTGGAGTTTTTAGAAGTGGATGACAATGAAGACCAGCAGCTAATGCCAGCTCACTTGAAAGAACACCTAAGACAAGGCTTGAGACCCACTCGTTTAGATCCTGACACTGACTCTGGCCGGGGCAGCTGCGACAGCCCTTCCCTTCTGTCTGAAAAGTGTGAGGAAGCCCAAGAAAATCCTATGTTCCACACGCCGGAGGTCACTGAGAAGTTAGAGAATCCAGAAGCCAATATTACCTGTCCCTGGGACCTCCAGGACATACACTTGGAAGATAAAATACCCTATTTTTATGCTGGTGGATCCAAATCATCAACATGGCCTTTAGCCCAGCCCCCTGGCCAACACAACCCTCGCTCTTCTTACCACAACACTGCAGATGTTTGTAAGCTGGTCCGGGCTCCTGTGAGTGCTGTCACCGTGCTGTTGGATAAAACAGAAGAGGATGCTGTACAAGCCTCAAAACCCAGTGAGACTGGAGGGGAGGAAAAGGGAGACAAGTCAATGGAGGCAGAAAGCTTCCATTCCAAGACTGGCCATGATACAGCATGGCGGCTGCCCCAGCAGAAACCCCCTTTTCCCTCTGCTAAACCCTTGGATTATGTAGAAATCCACAAGGTCAACAAAGATGGAGCACTCTCTTTGCTACCAAAGCAGAAGGAGAGCAGCTGCTATGAGACAGAGAAGCCTGGTCCTCCAGAATCCAATAAGGAATATGCTAAGGTGTCCAGGGTGATGGATAACAACATCCTGGTCTTAGTGCAAGATCCTGGAGCTCAAAGTGGGGCGTCGTTGGAAAAACAAGCCAAGGAGGCTCCTCCAGCATCCCAACAGCTTCAAGCTGAGAAAAACCTGGCCTGCTTCACTGCAACACCAAACAACTGCAGACTCCAGATGGGAGGCTTGGATTACCTGGATCCTGCGTGTCTTATGCACTCCTTTAACTGATAGCTGGACTCATGGAATGATCGATTACAATGTGATTTTTCTTCAGGTAACACTACAGCGTCAATGAAATGCCATCTAGTAGAGAATGTTCCAGAACGTGGTTAGCCTGACACTAGTAAATCTCACTACTTTCCATGTTCCACCCATTCCTTTTCAGATGCTCCGTTTTCAGCCAGGTCCCTTTCCCCGACAGCTGGTAATGGAACAAATCATCTTGTTTCTTAATTGTGATTTTCAGATTTATTTTTTGCTACTCGCTATAAATTGATGTGATCAAAGAAATGAAAACACATTGCTTAGGATCTCTTAGGGCCAGTGCCATAGGTAGCTCCCTTTGGAGAAGGTTCTCATGGCTTGGTGAATGATCGAGAGAAACAAAATAGTCAGCACTGTTTACCACTGGCAGGTGAACGACAGGGAGGAGATGCCAGGAAAACTTCTTTGGGGAACGAATTGCTTCACCTGTGCACAGCTCTTTCATTCTATTAATCCTAAATTTGTGAGGAGTTATCAAACACAACACACTCAAAGAAAGAATGCATTCCAGAGCATTTGGCAAATTGTTTACATAGTCCCTATACCTTACTGCAGAGATGCAAGTAAAAGTGATGCCTCCAATTTTTTCTTAAAATAGTTTAAATGTAGTGAACATTGATTTCCCCCCTCAATTTTAATGCATCCTTCCTCCTCTAGAGAATATAGTTTTACAAAGTAAAATTTTCTTATATGAGAGGCCAATAAATTTCATGTGGTAAATTCATCTAAAATATTTTCCTGATTCATTTGAGCATGACAGATAATTTATTATATACCCTAGTCTCCTCTTGGTAGGAAAAAAAAAAGGTCCCAGAAGACTAACTTTAAAAGCTAATCGCAGCAGGATGCTCATGGGAATACTGCCTTATTGTACATACAAATTCTACTTTACTACAAACCCATAAGTGTAACGATGTATTTTTGAAGACTATTTTTCTATCACTTAGGTAAGATAAAGACTATTTTCTATCTTCCCAGTACAGCTGTTTACGTATTCAGTGGGTACAGTATTTTCGGCTACAAGGTTATAATGAGTATTTACAGTACATAGTAATGTATGCCGTCCCTGTTTGTGATAAAATACCGCACCAACCCAAAGCCAACTGATGAATATGAAGTGGATGACAACACTTAATTTCCAGTACGGGGTTGGAAAAAAATTTTTTCAATTCTAAAATACTTTCAATAACAACAACTACCAACCCAGGATTTTAGGATTCTATAGACCCGACATGACTTCTCCTGTGATTTTAAAGCCATTTGGGGGTTTTTGCCTTTCTATGAGTGAATCTTCATAAAATAACATGGGAACTGAGACTGTTTGACTTTAAGCATGCTTTCTTTAGAGAGAGTTTTTGTTTTATATTCTGTTTTTCTGAGCATCCTTGGACAGCAAAGACATTTCCAGCAAATCCAAAGGGTAGTTTTCTCTTTGGAGTAGATCCATTTGCAAAAATCTTGGCACAGAAGGAGAGGATGCCCACCTCCAAAGTAGTCTAATAAAAAGGCTAGGAATCAGGCATCCATAGGGCAGGGTGATACGAATAGCTCCAAAAGCCAGGATCTGGCCATGAGACTCTCCACATGGGCAAGTGGCATCATTAGAGTGGAAAACCTGAATCGCCAATTGAAATTGAGCGATTATGACTACTCTGCTTCTTGCCAACCTCCCTCCTTTTTTCATTTTACTTGGTAACATAGGCACCAGGCAAGCCCAGGTCCAGTGTTTCCGTTCGTCTTCTTCAGCTGGACATAGCAACCTAGGAGTTCGCCTCTGTGAGTTACATCTTCTATTCAACAACAACAAAATGTTGATAGAACTGGACTCAAAGGTGCCCTGAGGTTTGGAAGGGAGCAGATTGTCATTTCTTCCAACATTGTAAAAGCTGTAGAGCGGAGGTTCCCTTTTCCCGATATATAAGCAATGTCCTAGGAGTGCGGGACCCATTTGGGAAAGTTATCCAAACGCATTCGGTCCCCTAGATTTTCACTAATCAAAGTGGTCCTTGGATGCAGCAGTGGCAGCAGCAGCCCTGTTCATTGATTAGAAATGTACTCTCAGGCACAGCCCCTTCTCTAGAGACAGAGAATCTGAATTTTACTAAGGCCTCCATGATTATTTGGACGCATCTTACAGTTTAAGAACTATTGCCCTTGATGGCCATTTCCACTAAAGAATATTTTGAAAAGAAACTTTTTTTCCATTCTTGGAGACCATTCTCAGACAAGACAGATCATCTCTATTTGTTTTATACTTTACAGTGCTCACAACAACAGACTCTACAGAGGAGGTGTAATTAAAAAACACACACCCCATGCACACACAAAACCTGTTTAGTGATTTAAGATCCATATATGACAGGATCACTATCAAAAGTATATGCAATTTCTAAGGGGGTCTGGGAATTTTGTTCAGGAATTTTTTCTTGAGAGCCGTTAGCCTGATGACTATATTCTTTTAAGGCCAACACTGATGGACTGAACCTTTCTTAATCTAGTTCTTTCTTCTCCAATGACACGGTTGACAACTTGAAAATAATCCACTTTTGACACGTAATTTGGCATACATAAAAAATATGTTATAACCAAAGAATCTACTTGACCTAATATTCCTAATCAAGAAAAAAGATAGCTACTCATTAAGTAAATTCAAGACTATAATTCTACAATCAATTATTAGTAATTTCAATTGAATTTTTTCATGGTCTAGTATATTTTCTGTCAAGTACACAGCTGGCATCAAGATTTGAAGAAGATGCATTAACAACTGTGAAATGCAGATGCCACGCTCTTGCTTTCTGAGAGTGGTAAGGACTTGAAGCACTTGCTGGTGACAATCAAAGACTCAATATGACACTAAAAAGAAAAAACGTAAAAGGTAAACTCCTCACAACGGGACCGATAAACAGCATCTTGACAAATGGAGAACAGACTGAAATTGCCAAGGATTTCATTTTCGTTGGATCCACCAACAGACCCATGAAGCAGCAATCAAAAAACTCCACTTATCACATTGGGCAAATCAATTCTAAAAGACCTCTTGAAAGTGCTAGCAAGCAAGCATGTCCCCTTAAAGACACGCCGGACCCAAGGCATGATATTTTCAATTGCTTCAAATGCATGCAACAGTTGGACAATGGATAAGGAAGACCAGAGAAAGTGTTATGCATTTCAATTATGATGTTGGTAAAGAATACTGGACATAATATTGACTGCCAGAACAACAAACAAATCTGTTTTGGAAGAAGTACAACTGGAATGTTCCTTAGAAGAAGGAATTTCATCTTACATACTTTGAACGTGTTATCACAAGGGCATCAGACCTGGAAGAAAGGGCATCATTGAAAAAGAGGAAGATCTTTAAGAAAATGGATTGACACAGTGGCTGCAACAAAGGGCTCAAACACAGCAAAAATTGTGAAAATGGCCCAGGTTCAGGAAGTGTTTCCTTCTGCTGTGCACAGGGTTGAAATATGAGTCAGAAATAACTTGATAGTGTCAAACAACAACAGATGGCTGGTCAAAGGGGAGGACTCAGAAGGAGGGTGGAAGCCCTGGGTTCTAGTCCTAACAGTATTTCCTTGGACAAATCAATTCCCTGTCTTGGCCTCAATTTCTATACTTATATAATTGAAGGTCTTGACTAAATGATCTCCAAAGCACTTTTAAACTTCAACTCTGCTTACAGTGACTCACTGAATATTTTCCAACAAAGATAATTATTACCAATCCATTATATTATAATTAACTAACGAAAGATTGCTCCACATCACAGGCAAACAGTCTTCAGTTCATTATATTTCACCTTTTGCATCATTAGTTCTACTAGGTCTTAACATGTTGCACAGGCAGTTCACAAATTATGTAGCTGCATATGCATATGCCAAGTATATATGCAAATGAATGTAGATAAAATAGACATAACATAGGAAAGAAGCCTATTGAATAAGACTCTTTTTCTTTCCTTTTTTAAATAATCTTGTGCCACATCAAGCCATGTCATTCCTTGCTGAGTGCATCAAACCCGAAATCTTTTTCTTATATCTGTCTGCTGCTTCTGACCTTTTTCTCTCTAGTTTTGAGTCACTTCATGATTGATAGACTTCCACTCTGAGCTAGTTAGGAAAAGTCTTACTTCCTAAGTAGATCCTTAAGTATTCAAGTTATAAAGAATATGGAAATTAGGTATAGCCACTGGGGACATTATGGAAGCTTCTGATCCAACCTGAAAATGTCTTAATAGATGGCTGTAAGACACTCTAATATGAGCACAAGTTATTATCAGCAGGGTCCTTGACATATAACAGACTCGGCGTTCTCCTAAGTGCCTAAGACCAATCCTGGTAGGCAATTATGTACACAGACTGTCCTTTAACTGGTTTGGTCCAAAGGGGTCAACGCCAGGCCATCTGTGTGATGGCATGTTTGACTCTTTTGCCTGTAGTGACCCGGCTGAATCGGAGAGCCCTCTGAGTTAATGAGTGACTAGAGCCTCCAGAGCTCGAAGGGGCAGTTAGTCCCCTGGAGGAAATCCGCTCTCTCTTTCAGGAGACTGCCCATGAGGTCCATCACGTGACCCTTCCCCATCTCCTAAGAGTCAACGAGAAAGAGACTGATGGGTACACATTTTATGAAGTGCCTTTCGTTACTTTTCTAAAAACATGTTGTTGTTGCAAGACTGGTATATTGATTGGAAATGCAAATTTACCTTATCTATATTGCATTATTTGTATAACTTCATGGAGAGACAAGAGTGGCAACGCCAGAAAGGAACGGGTCGAATGGTTTCAGGACAACCAGCAACTGTTCGGCATAGGTTCATGTGTTTAATAGAATTATCCTAGATTTGTGTGAATCATTTAACTAGACTTTGTATGATAAGAAATGAACTCCGGCTAGGGTTTGGGGATAAACTTGACAGCCTATGATTTAAGGTTCTCAGTTTAAGAAACTATTGACACTTTTTTTAAAAAACAGCTTTCAATGACAGGTTTGGTCTGGGTCTGAAAAGAAAAATGCATATGCATTGGAATTTTGCCCAGGCTCTAACTTATCCCCTGCAAGGTTACTAATGTAAGACTTGATGGAAGTTTCATGGGTACCCCAGGGACACATTTCTTCTGTATTTCGGTCCAAGCACAATAGTGTTGCTGCGAGGTTAGTGGACCGAGTGTTCAACATCCAGATCTTTGACACGTTGCTGCCACTACACTGGTTGTGTGAACTTGGGCGTGTCCTTTAAATTCTGTCTACCAGTTTTCTTGCTTATTAAATAAGTTTGTGGACCTGAAAGTCTTTTTAGAGCCCTCCCAACTCTAGCCATCCTTGATTCTCATGATCTAAGTAGAATCCAGGGTCCCTGGTCAAAAGCTGGATGCTGCAGAGGAAAGCATTGCCAAATGCATCCTAACGTGAAGCACTCAACATCTGCGTCAGGGTGGCTACAAGCATGTCTAAGAGAAGGAGAGAGCTCTATTTCTCCAAATCACATTGATTTAAAATTCCTGCTTCTTTTCTTCTGTAGTCTATGAATTTATAGGTGTTCACCCCCTATCTAGGGCCTAGGTTTTTTTTCTAAGAGTTCATTATATGCAGTAGCAACAATGAGATTTTCAAGAAACCAAATTTCTCACAAAGGATTAAATCAAGCAGTAAATCAGCCACACAGATATAAAGAACCAATTGGAGGGCTTCGGGTATGCCCCCATTTGCGTGCTTAGAGAT